AATTGCCCTATTCCTTATTCCTCTATTATCCATCCAGATGGGTTCTCCCTTCGAAAACTGTGATTTTCACTACCGTATTCTCCAAATTTCTGACCACCCGGTAGTGGTTCGATTCTCCCGTAGTGGCGTAAATAAATTCATGCTCACTTACTTTATAATCCTAATTAGCTTTGTAACGAGAGCATTTATTTGCGTTTTGTTTTACAATTTTTTCCGTAGAACTATGCGGAAGTAAAATTTCTCAGTTTAAAAAGGATCAAGGTTTCAAGAACATTCCAGCAAACAAATACTACTCATAATAACAAGTTTTTATTTTGTCGGTTGTAATACGGTAAGCTTTTAGTATTCTTCTCACACTTTTCGTCTATGAAGTATTTGTTCTAAATTGAGTCTGTCGCCCTATTGTCTGGTTTTAGTTTTGAATTACACGCTGAAAATACATCGTATTATGTTACTTATGCAACTTTCCCAATTAAGCGCGGCTGGGTAAAAAGAGGCTGATTTTACAAAATTCTGAAGCTCAGTGAACCAAAGAAAATTAATAAAATATCGCCGCGATTTCTATTCCGCGATTGAGTAAGCGTTTTGTGTTGAGAGAGAGAGAGAATCAATGCACCATACGAACCGATTAGAAAAGAGTTAAGGCCCAGTTAGATTAGCGTTCTGATAACCAAACTTAGAAAATCGTTTTAAGTAAATTCAGGGCGATCTTGGGGTTCAGTTCGTGAACAATCCAAGTGTCACCTTTGGAGTGATTAAAAAGCAAATTCTCGTGCCGTGGAGTACACAGCGAAAATCGAGTGTATAAGTTATAATCGTCAGTTAACAAAGAGTGCCAGGTCACAAAGAATTACAGTTTATAATAAAAACTAAGCTAAGGGATATTTGCGTAAGCAGGTAAAGTCACAAGGGCTAGTCGACGGCATTTTAGTAATTATTTTATGATACAGTTTGAAATGGTTGTAATTTCCCGTTAAATAAATAGCAAAATGAATTATCAACAAATTATTTACCGATGCAATGTTTCTTATGGCTTCCTGAATCGTTCATCCGATTGCGATGAAACTTTCTGATTTAGCGAAACACTTCCCGAAAACTGCGGAAAATAGAGACTTGACCTTTAAGAACGTAAGTTTCTTTGACGGTGTTAAGGTGTACTCCGAGCAGACTTTGCCAAATTTCTCACGAAAACGCGGAAAAACGGAATTAAGGCACAATAATATTCTTGGATAGAGAATAAAGGAACCTTTCAAACGACATATGGCAAGCCCATACATCCCATTAAAAAAATTGGGAGTTGTAACTGTCACTCGAAGGGGGTTGAAAGTCGGGATCACATGTTCACGTTGATATTTATAATTTAAAGATGAAATGTTTCAGGATTTTCTATAGGTAAATATGTACAGTAACCGAAATAATAAACTTATTCCATTTGGGTTTTTCACACTTAAGAATCCTTGAAACCTTTCAGATCCCTTAGAATCTTTTTATAGTCTCCTTCTCGGAAAGTCAAAGTCTTTGCAGAATCTTCTGATATTTTTCCAGGTTTTTATACCTGATTGGAGCTTGCTAGACCGCTAAAGTCTTCTTTAGGCCTCTGTGTGCCCTTAGCAGGGTTTAGGCAAATACTTCTAAGTGCTTTCAAGGCTCTTATAAACACGACTCTGAAGATTGAAAGGCTTTCCAAGGCAATAAAAAATACTCCAGCTCTTTCGAGATGATTTCCATAACCTTATATCGCCTCTATATCCCTTTGAAAACCTCGGTCAAAGATTAGTAGTCCTCTTCAATAGTTTTAGATCACAAAGATTATTTGGTCCTGCACAAAGGACGCTTTTTGAGTCCTTTCTAAACTTTTCATTGTTCAACTAACTCTGAGAAAGATGAAGACCTAAAAAACCTTGGAAAAGATCTAGAAAGCTCTCTGAACTCTACAAATAACTTAAATACCCTGGAAATAGTTAAAAAATTATAAACAGTCTTCTAAATGCTTTCCAGACCAAATAAATGACTTGCAGTGCAAAAAAAGAGCTCTATAACGTCTTTCAACAGTATCCTATCGCATCCACAATAAGTAAGAGCGTGAGGTAGAAATTTGTAGAAAGCACTTTCAGGAGACTTTTGCAACCTTTGCCTTTCCAGAGCGTTTTAGACCTCTCCCAGGGTTTTCGACTTTTATATGTAAATTAAAAGGTTCATAACGCAATCAACTGGTACAGGTTAAACTTTGAGGAAGTAGATACCAGAAATTAATTATTGCATTTTTTTATCACGAAATATTGATTACTTCGCTACAAAACTAATTTTTAGTAAATCATTAATAACGTTACGCCCTTGCCAAACAAATCATCGCTGATGTGCGGTAGGTTATGATACATCAACACCCCCATTGCAATTTATATAAAATAATATGCACAGGATGATGCCTTTATTTGAAATTAGTTACAAATGTGAATCTTGGCATGGGTCCATTCAACGATAAATGCGAATTCGTAGCGTTTTGCCATACTTCCTTCTCGCCGCAGGGTTCGGCGGCATTCACACGATTTAGACGAATCAAATATTTTCGAAGTCACATCTAATACTGATGATAATTTATGACCTCAGATATTAATTGATGCTATAGAATTTTTATATTAAAAGTATCACTTAGCCGTAGGTATATAATTTTATAATGATTAAATAGGGGGTTGGTTAGGTTTAAAGTTAAAAAATACGTTCACACCCTCTTGAAATATTAATTAGGTAGAATTTAATCTTTTGCAAAGGGGTTGTGCTAGAGAATGGCTTCTTAAACGTTAAAAAGTGTCTTAAAATATATTACTTTCATTTTCTAAGGGTGAACCTTTCATCTATTATATTGTTCCATTGTTCCAAAACTACAATTTTATTTAATTTTTGCCGTCAAGTAGCATCAATCGGCTTCGGCCATTTGAAAAATAAAAACGTTAATTAATATCTAATTCCCTTTACGTCAAAAGATAATTCTTACTTTTACAAAATTTAGAATTCTGTTAACTTTCGCGTTCGATTTTTCTGATCTAAAAATTACAGTCGTCGAGGTGGTTATACTTCAATCCTTTGCTTAATTGATGGCTGTCGAGTTCCTGCAATTTTGAGTTCAAAGGTTGGGCGGAGTTCGCAATGTGACATGGGTTTAATATGAACCTTTATTTAGCAGTTTAAATTATATAGATTGCTCATTTTCTTCCTTGTGTTTTATGTCTACTGTACTTAACTTTGATGGGAGTATTTGCGTTGTGATTACCTTCACAAAAAACGTTTTCACGAATCCCTTTCATGAAACTGACCCCAAAATACAATGAGACGAAACAATATCGAGTTTGAGTAAGATTCTTGTCCTGCCGTAGGGCGAATGAAATGTAGAAATGTGTACGACTCTAATTAAAAAAATATATACAGAGTGTTCGACGACGATCTGAGCCGATTCTTATATTGAAAATGACAATAAATTTATGAAAATTGATGCATAAATCTCATTTCGGTAAAAAATTTAAATCTGGAATAAATTTTTCGAAATAATCTCCTCTCTAACTACTTAGTAATTTTTCAACGCCTACTCAATGGTGGAATAGTAATGGCGGCGATATTTTGTTAATTTTCATTGGTTCAACCAGCCTGCAGGGCTGTGTACTGACTTTCTGATGCGATGTCGGCATATTTTTTCCAAGCTGTGCAAAAATTACAGAGTTGCAGAAGTAACTTAACATGACCCATTTCCAATGTGTAATTCAAAACCAAACCCAGATAACGGGGCGACAAACACCCTTTAGAACAAGTAATTGATTGAAAAACGTGGGAAGATTACGAAAGCTCGCTGCTATTATAATCGACAAAATAAAAACTTGAACTTATCATGAGTAGGTAATATTCGCTTGATGGAATGTTCTTGAAACCTTGACTCCTTTTACTCTTTTTAACAATTTTTCTTCCGCATTGGTTAAATTACCCACTCATTGTTGCGCCACTGGCATAATATTTAAATTTATTTTACTGATTTGTATTGGTGGGAGGTCACTCTCGCTCAAGCCGCAATAAAGTAATGTGCTTTGTCTATGGTAACAAACACGCATAATTCAACGGGAAACATCGCACAAATTTCAACGCAACTAAATGCTCTCGTTACAGTCTTGTGAATATGAATAAAAACACAATCACACTATATTTTTGCAATTGTTATACAGCGTGATTTATATCAAAGTTGCATTTTTTTTTAATAGAACTCCTTGATTATTGCACATTTCGATTCCTTAGTCAATTTTGGTGGGATTGTATGTTCACCCTAAAGTCGCGATACATCAATTGTTACCGACGTCCTTCTTGTTGGTCAGTACGCGTATCACTATTGCTTATAATTTAAATAATTTGCTTTATTTCGTTAACCCGCCATCCATTAATGATTTGGATATCGACAGAAATAATTGCCACATTATACGATTAAAACGGTTACCGATTTGTATCGTGGACTACACTATACTACACGCGGAAGTACACAATTTGTAAAACGCTCCGTATATCTTCGTAACTATTTCACCTGCACCTGCACAAACACAAAGCGTCTCTCTCGCGTATCGTGCATTCAGCTATTTATATGAAATTTAAAGCGGAACCACCGAAACTGCTGAATCTGGCGTCCCTTTTACACTAATAGAAAACCCACATTTCTTGTTTCTATGATAATTTCGGCTTTGAAAAAAGGGAACTCACACGCAATTACGGTTGCTGCTATAGTGTAAATGCACGTTAATACTTGATCGCGCCTATTACGCTGATAAAAATCGGTATGCTTATAATTTTATTCGTATGTGTATTTTGGAAAAGAAAATTCAAGCCACACCGTTACAATTTTTACGTTTTGCTGTAGTTTTTATACAGAAAAACTGCAATTTTAAATTCAATTTTGTTCCGAGTAATTTTCCTCTGGAAGTTTATTCAATGCAGAATCAAGCATGTGCATACGTTGTCATTAGAATGTCACATTTAATTATTTGAAGCGTTTGCTTACATTGTTTATTTATCTCAATGGCGGTCGCGGTGCCTTTATCATTCGCCGCAAAATGTGATCAGACGATCAGTCGTACAGGTTACAATTCCACATAGTCTGCTACCATACTGACCAGTTTTTCAGGTTTTGGTTTATACAACTATTTCGCCTTGGGGATGTCCTGTGCGTGTGCCTTCTCCCAATCAACCGCCCTTTCCAGTTTACCGTTCGCAATACCGTTAACCATATGCGACGACTACGCCCTAGCACCACCGTACACGGTGCAAGGTGTCGACTTTTCCCTATATTTGGGTACGTACGGGTTAAGATACAGTCCTTACATACGGGAATGTAGGTATGGCTTTTGGCGGGTCCGTTCTTTCTAGCATTTCGGACATAGTTGGAAGGAAAAGTTTGATACCTATAACGTTAATAATAATTTTTGGAAGCACATTGGCTTGTGGTTTCGCACATCATTTTCAAACAATTTTCGTTTGTGTTTTCATCTTGGGCTGCGGGTAATGATGATAACATTTTCAATTTGAGAAATGGACCACTCGACTAAAGTTTACAGGCAAATGCTAATACGGTAAAAATTCACTTGGCAGAGATTTTACCAAACAAACGACGGGGAACGTTGCTGACCTTTCAGGATCTCTTTTGGAGCGTTGGGTATGTTGCCGGCACGTGTAAGGTCGAAATCAGGGATAAGGGAACTTGCTTATTAGTGTCTTTCCAGTGGTAGCGTGGCTCTTAACACCTGCAATCGTGGATCACCAGAAGGACGCAATACGTTGGGCCACGTGGAGGATGATCTTTGGTTTGTCTGGGATGTGTAGTATTATTGTGTCATGTGCGTCCGCACTTCTTTTTCCCAGCCCTCGGTACTCAATTCTTGGCAGGCAGTTCTCAGAAGCTGCAGATACGCTTACGCGCATTTACGCCATCAACAACTCCAAACACTGGGAGACGTTTTCCGTGAGTAACAAGACTTTATTTAATTGAACTAAACTCCCCTTATTTCAGATAGGGTTAGACGATCTTCGTGGTTGTATCGACGAATTCGACTTACACAAACACCCTGAACCAATATCCTATTCCAATCGCATTGCAGTTTCTCTAAGAAAAATTGCAATTATCATTTCCGAACTCTTTCACCAGAGATTCCTGAAAGTAACACTCCTTTTAATCGCGTCTAAATTTGTAGTAATATTTGAGTATGATTACTGATAACAACTCTCGTAGACCTAACGCAATGTTTCAGCTTGTTAACCGTCAACGTGTGGCTTACTCAGACTGTCACAAATAACAGCACAGACTGTACGTTCGTAATGACATCATTACATGGTGACAATTATGGCTGCAAAGATGCACCAGACTCTCACTATGGAAATCTTTTCGCTTTATCTGTAAACGTTTTCATTGGGCAATTGATTTTAATGGCACTGGTTGAACGTGTGGGAAGGCGGGTTGTATTGGGTAAGTGTGTAAAAAGATTTACGAGTTTCTGAAATGTTGCTACTGATGTATTACTTCTGGTAAGCCTATTCTTACTTTAGATTATTTTGCCACTTTTCAGTCTTTGTATGTTCAAGTTACTACTAACTATCTATGGAAGTTGCAACTATCCATAATAGTGCACACTAGATTCATCTACCGAACCCACTTTGTAGTTCAATGGTAAAGCGTTGGGCTATATAGTCGGTGGTCGGGTGTTCAAACCCGGACTGAGATAAGAATTTTTCATCTGTGACAGAGATGGGAATTTGCTTAGACCAGTTTCGAGCATTCTGCCTGCTACTCCAAATTAGGTTTTCCTGCAGCTTTCCTAATTCGTAAGGGAAATACCGGAGTAGTATAGAACAGCTTAAGAGCTTCTGCAGGGGAACCTCTAAAAAGCACTACGCGGATCACTCTGTAATTGGGCGCAAGCCTGTCGAGGGCCCAGAACAAGAGAGGGACAATAAATAAATAAATAAATAAAATAATTCTACAAACCTCTTAGGGAAATATTCAAGAAATCTAAGAGAACATTTTTCAGGCGTTACATCATGCGTCTCTTTATGAGATTATTTAAAACTTCTAAGAGATTAATTAAAAAATTAATTTTCTTGATTTGTTTAAAAAAGCTTATCTTCAGTTTATTTAACGAATTTTTTTTCAGTTAGCCTAAAGTCGTACCATTTGGAATATCTAAAGTTCGTAATTTGCTCCGCATTGTTCCTTTTGTAATCCCAATGTTCATTCTTTATTTGCTTTCTCTAAGTTTAGCACCATTCAACCTTAATGAAGATTACATTAAAACGGAATAGACGTAGTGTTTACCGACATTAACCACGAACGCCTTCACTTTGACAGATTACCATTTTTCGCAACTATAAATGAGCGCACGAAATAAAAATTATCAGAAACGTGTGTATTGTAATAAATTTTTCATCTTATTTTAAGTCAACTGCATTATTTATAACCACATCAAAAGCATTTTCTTTTGATTATTGCTACATGTATAGTTCGGTTTTATTTTTAACGTAATTTTCGCAAATAGAACTTATTTCATCTTGTTACCACCGAGAGAGCCGCGTTATGCAACTGTTGCAGCTACGAAAATAATTTTTAATTAACACATTTACTTTATTTATCAACGCGGATGTGTGCGTGTGTGAGGCTGCAAGTTCGTGCAATGACATTAGATCTAAAATTAATGCGTTATTGATATTATATTGTGAAAGGGGGTTATTTTAAAACGGCTAGAAAAACAAACTACCTCTTTTACAGATTTTCTAGGGAGCTGTGAGGGGCGATGGAGTCATTATTCATTAAAAATGCAGAGCAAATGCTTTATAATAACAAATCGTGATTAATCATTAGCCGTGCTTTGTAAATATAGTCGACGCTGTTCTTTATCATTTTCTATTATTTCCAATATAAAATATTGCAAAGCATTTTTCATAAAATTTTAATCAAACAACGCGTTTCGACAGCGAAACTGTCACCATCAGTCAACAACTGAACAGAAATCACAAATGAAAGTTTGTGTGATGGTCCCTGACATAATTGGGTGCACCTAAAGAAAAATTTTGGAAGTAATGATCTAATTACATTACCAAAATTTTGTTGCCATTTAACTAACTCATTCGGTTATAGGATAAAAATATTTTAAGCAAAAGCTCCCACAGAATGGACGTTATTATTTTTTATATACAGGCTGTTTCACGCAAACCGTTACCTCAAAGTATATAGAATGTGGCTAATAAACGTTTCTTAATTTTCACTAATAATTTCTAAAAATAGTTCAATGCCTAATGTAAAAACCCCCTTTTTCAGTTTGTGGTTGTGCGACATGTGGAATATTAAGTTACATTCCCACATTTATTCATAACACGTATACAGCAAGATTTGTAACTTCTTCCAGCTTTCTGGTTGGTTATAGCATTACAGACTCCGCTCTAAATATAATTATAATCGAATCATACCCGACTGCATTTAGGTGAGTAACACGAAAAAGTACAATGACACATTTTCGCTTTGGTTTTAGAGGAACGGCATATGGTTGTGTACAATTTTTTGCGAGATTTGTAGGTGGAATTCTCAAAATGTTTTTAATCCTCCCCTGTGAATATTCTTTTATTCTTATGGGATCTCTCATGTTGGGTACGTATTTTGCTATAGTTGTGCTAATCCCGAATATCAAATTTTTCAGCTGGTGCCGTTATTTGCTACTTTCTTCCGGAGTATAGGGGAAAGCCAATGGAGGAATGACCCGATCTGAGGCTGAGAATAAATTCTAATGCCCTTTGTTTTTTGTATAATATTTTTCAAACATCAAAATTTGGCCAGTAGCGTCCTCTTTAAGAAGTTTAACAAATCGAATAGTTTCGCCTAACAGTATAGGGCCAAATAGCAAAAACTATAACGGCCCGTGTTAAATTATCCCCTACTGTGGTTTGGTGCATATTGATTATGGTAACTGTATTAGTTGCTTGGTACAAGTCTACCATTCATTGTCAACGTTATCATATCAAAGTTCAACCACGTGGTGCATCAGAATCGTCAAAGTTAACGTGCAGGTTATCTCCCAAAAAACGTTATTTTTCTTTATATAGGCAAGATAAGGTTTTCTGCAGATAACCTGCACGTTATGTTTGACGTTCGTAATACATCACCGGTTTGTTATGCCCAAACCACTTTATATTTTGTATTTAGCTCTATTTAACTGCACCTACTCAAATATCAAAAAACTACTAGAGAATGCCAAAAAATATAGGAGTTTTTGTTAATAAATAGTATGGGGAGATACTAGGACAAAATAGGGCAAAATTTGCAGTTTTATGATCGTCTTTTGTTTTTCCAAAAATACATATTCACGGTTTGCTAGATATTTTAGAAAAAATGCATATGTTTCGACTTTTCTTTAAATCACTGTAGCTTCTTTATTATTTTTGCTACATAAAAAGTGTAATTACAAAAATAAAAGATAATTGAATTAAAGGTAATATTTATAATCTGTCAGTTATCAAATAAAGTTTTTTGTATTTGAACACCGTGTATAAATAGAAATATCTAGCAAGCCATGAATCTGTTTGGAACAACAGGGTGCTCTGAGTAAGTCACATAAAACTGCAAATGTTGCCCCACTTAACCTAATTCGTATCTCTTATACTTTCCGAAATCCCCATACTATTCGTTAAAATATATACACTGTGTTCAAGATAAGAATGTCCCTCATGAGGATCTTGGAAACCATAGAAAATCAAATTAAGAAAAAATTGCGCAATTAATGAGTTATTACCATGCTGAAAAGTAAACCAGAAAATTGGTACTTCCGAAGATATGCCAGAAAAACCGAAATTTCCGATTTTGCTTTTATTGTTTTCTGATGTTACTTGACAACACACCGTTGAGAGATTTTTATTACAACGTTTAGTTTCGGAGAAATCGTCAACTTTATTTTTTATGTTGCCCGTAAAAAAGTACATACTGTAGTGAGTAGCATTTTGTATTACGAATACAACGATGTACGGCACACAAAAAGAATAAAAGTTGAAAACTGTTGGTTACAACAGGATGGTACACTCGCGCATAAATAACACCTGTTCCTGGGCAGAGCGGCAGTTTCGGACAGTCGGGTGGCCACAGATGCCACAGTCACAGACAAACTCAACCAGAGAACGATTAAAACCAGGTATCACTCAGCAACCACTAACGAAACAAAAATGTAAAACAGAATTATGAATGCACGGACGGCAGCGAGAGCTTAAACTGAATGGAAGTACAAAACTTAGTTTTAAAAAAGCAATGTCTACAGGAAGTCCCAAGCAGGAATTTCATGGAGGGTACGACGGTTTCCCAGCCGACCCAATGTATTCGATGTATGAACGTCCAAAAATTAGACTTCTTTAATTAATTGCGTGGGCGGGGATCAAAGGAAAAATATGGCACTTAATTAGTTGATGCCTCTTGCTAAAATGCACATATCAAACCTTCGCCTCATGGACTGACGGACTTTGCCAAATATTCCAGCAGTATTGCGAATGATTCTGACTTTATAACAATTGCCATAGGCAAGTCCATAAATTAAATGCACCTCTGCATATTCTGGATTTGTTAATTTAACCATCATTAACAATGACAATAAACAGAATTAACAATAAATTTCCTGCCCCAGCCTATACTATTTTTTTTCTCATATTTATTAGGTATTTCACCTACACATAATTTCCATCGATGGCTATTTTTGCAAATAAATCGAAAACTTTGCCACCCGGTGTAAGGAAAACGATGCTCTTTACACCATGCATATATATTTGTTTGTTGCAGTATTATCAGCTCCTGAAATATCTGTATGACATTAAGTAACACCATGTATAGATGCAATGCTGAAGGGCGCAGTTCACATGTCGCATTGCTCTTCCACTTCATGAAAAATTTATTACCTACTTGTAAATTTTCTTAGAAACTTGTTCTACGAAAACTTAGAAATCTTCATGGAGAGCTAACCAAAGATATTCCTGCGAATCATGTTAAAGATGATTTCCAAACTGTTGTTAAAAATCTGTTTAGGTATCTTCTCATATAATAAATAATTGAAATTGTTTTACTGAAAATGAATATCCTCCTTTATGTGTAGAAATACAAGAGATCTTCTCGAAAACCTTGTTAGAAATCTTTTTAAAGATATTATTAACAATATACTGAAATTTTTTTTAAATAATCTTACAGGTCGTTCTAGAAAACCATACTAAACTTTCTCTAGCCCTCAATACCATAAGTAGTCTCTTTAGAGACGCCTTTGGAAATGTTCTTAGACATAGTCCATCATTTCCCTTCTTATTAGAAATCATTTCAGGGGATTGCCTAGAAATCTTCATAGAAAGCGTTCTAGTAATCTTCAAGACACATTATTTCCGACATTAAAGCTTCATTCACAATGCAAGAATTAGCAATTATAATTAGTGCGTACACTTAACCCAGACAATAAGAAAACAACTATCATTCACAAATACACAAAATTAGCTCGTTAATTGTAAGAGTGACAGCAACGTCCTTATTAACAACAGCAACAAAGTTTCAATTTTTTTACTAACAACAGCGTTTTTTAATAGTATATTAAGATACAAGTGTATAATCAAGTCTTTAAAGCACGCGCAACGAGTTTAAGGGCACGACGCAAAGCGGAGTGCCTTTAACGTTGCAAGTGCTTTAAAGACCAATTATACACGTGTATCTTATAGTATTTTTTATTATACCTGCAGTATAATTTAAAAATAGGAAATACAATGAAATCATATTGACGTTATACTCGAATACATGTTTAATTAAGTGGGCTGGGTGTTCGTAATTTCACGATTGCCATGGAAATGTCACTTGACGTTTGCTTATAAAAATTATCGTCTTTGTGAATTAAACGATTTCCGTTGAAAAAGATAATACACCGTCCATTAAATCGATTGTTGTAAAATCTAAACACACGTTGGTAGGTGTAAAATCCAACTCCAGTAAAGCCTATTATAAAGAATATGAAAAGTTGTTTCCATGGATGAATAGGAAGTTACTTACGAATACAGTCTTAAATGCATCCATAATGCTGGCATATATGAAGGAAATGTCAAAGGTATTTAAATCTTCTATCTTTTGGTGCATTCATTCAAAACTTCGAACAATGCTGCGATTAAAAAGTAGAACAGATTTGGAAGCATACCCTAAATTATGCGCGTTTGTGAAAGCTTCAACCAAAGGATAGGTACAAAAGCCAAAGAAATGTTCTGCATTTACAGAAAGCGACCTAAGAGGATTTTTTATTTCATCCAGATGACAGTTTCAAAAGTCATACTTGAAGTATCGTTACTTAGCAACTTTAAAGCACGTGTGTTTTAAAGGCCCTTTTTCGCACGCATTTGAGTGTTTAAAACGGAGATTGTGATTCAGGTATAATAAAAAATAAATAAATCACCTTTGTTTACGTTTAGTACACCTTGTCTCTGGAAATAAAAATAGCCGCCACGTGGCCACGAAACGAGTTTATTAATTTTCATATGATAGAATTTAAACAAATCTCCTAAAATACGAGTACAAACACCGTGCGCATGACATCAATTGCAATTAGGGTACAAATTAGCGAAGAAGTTTGGAGTTGTGTAATTTCTAATTGATTCCATTGTGAACGTTTTATAGTATGTCAAACTTCTACGTTAAGTGTACGCACTAATTGGTAATTGCTAATTCTTGCATTGTAAATGAAGCCTTACTTAAGGTCATCTTAGGAGTCCGCGAAGTGTATTTTCGCAGAAACTTATGAATTTTGTTAGGTAGAATTCTTGGAAACCCTCTACTGGATTGAAAAATACCAGTAATCCTTTTACAGGTCGCCCTAGAAACCTTTTCAGAAAGCATATTGACGCATACTTGGTTGTTAAATATGTAGATTATCCTAGTGCATCTTCAGAATAACATAGGTAATCTGCGAAGCAAAAGCATTTTCGCAGTTTAACGGACTTAACTAGATAATCTGCAGATTAACTCTCCAGATTAATCTGGACTTGACCGGTTTTCTGCACATCAACGGTAACATATACATTACATAGTGAGTGTGTATGGAATGGATGTATTATAAGTGTGTAGGTAAGATCCTAATGTGTAGTATACGAATAAGATCATCATGCTCCGATTTGTACTTTCAGAATTTTTCAAAAAAAATGTTGATTCGTTTTTTAATCATAACTCATTTATTTTTTTGATAGAAAGTGCATTAAAGAACCATGTAGGTTTTTACAAGAGCTACGAGGCTATTTTACATCAAATCCCTTTAAAGAAGGCTAAAAGGAGGTAGTACTCGCATATAAATACAAGTCTATATCTCACTTAATTTTTGTCGTACAGAAAATTCCCGGCGAGGAAAATGTTTGGAATTAAAAATGTTACAATTGGATGCTGTAGCATTTTTTACATATCTCCAGTTGCTTTCTACTCGTAGTTATTTTGAAGAGAAGGACGATTTTCACAAAAATACAGAAATTCGTGTTTCACTTTTAGCTTCAATTATATTTCAAAATTAAGTCTTCTAAACTGGTCACACTTTTAGAATGTATCAATAATACGTAATTAGAGAAAACTGGAAAAGGAGAAAGACTAATTTTAATTAGGGTGGTTATTAGGGTCTAGGACAACTCGCCGTCGCCAACTGGCCGTTGGCGATTCGCCGTCGCCGACCCGCCGTCGAACAAACTCGCCGTCGGGCAAACTCGCCGTCTGGCAAGTCGCCGTCAGGAGAATAAATAATAAAAAATACTACTAAATGTTTGTAAGTGCAATCAGTTTGTTCTTATCAAACAAAACCCTCTAAAATTGCAAAAATATTTTTGGTTATACATTATACATTTATATTTCATAATTATGGGCTAACCCCCTAAGATATTCCGAAATATCACTATCAATCAATCAATCCGTGTATTTTACGACGGGTACAGGTAAAGGATTAGTCTGTCAGCATTAGAAGAAAGAAAGGATAACATACTTTGATGTCCAAGCACGAAAACCGAAGTGCAATTATAATTTACAACTGTTGTGAATTCTTAAAAGGGTGTAGGCGGTTATTAATTTTCAAGGAAGGTCTTTTTCACAACGGTTTAGGTACAATTTTTCTTGCTATTTTGCATACGATAAAAGGATTTAGATCGTTTTGGGGGACTCTTGGATCTGGATCAAATTATGATTTTTAAATGTATCTGGATCTCTATCTAGATCCAGAATTAAAGGATCTTACACAACACTGCAAATAACTACAGGCCTACAGCATTCCACTGATGAAACGAGATTGCTAAATAATATATGACTAAACTGATTGCAGTTATAGACATCTAAGTGTTAGATTTAAATATTTAAAAAAAATAATCTTTATTTTGTTTCCGGTGACGGCGAGTTAACCGACGGCAAGTTGACCGATGGCGAGATTGCCCGACGGCGAGTTGCCAACGGCCAGTCGGCCACGGCGACTCGGCGACGGCGACTTGTCCCTGCCCGTGGTTATTAGGGGGTTACTTTCGCTGATATTTTTGCTGAAAAAAGTAGCGATCTACGGTATTTTCATCGTAACTCACTAAATTTTTATGCTAAAGTTTGTTTTAAAAAAAAAGAAAGGTCTTTTTAAGTACTTTAAAGGATATTGTACAAGTTTTGCTCGAAAAATGCATAGTTTTGCCGTTATTTGACTGTGAAACTCTCTAATTTAACGTTTGACGAATAAGATGCATACTTTTCGTGTTTTTCGCGAATAACCAATTAAAAACATTGATCTTTTCTATGAAAAACACATAATTTCGGTCGCGTATAACTGGAGAAGTATTAACTTTCCAAAAAAATGGATAGAACACTTTTTGCTCTATTCCTGTGTTAAAATTATAATTAAAAATTGCAACCCCCGAGATGGGGTGGCAACTATCTCTCAAGTGTAAGCGCCCTTTAGCATGATATAGATTTTGAACCTTGCGCTATTCTCTACCTAAGGTCCAAATTTCAAGTTAATCGATTGAGTTTGAATAAATTTCCATCGCAAAACCTTTCCTGGACTATAAAGCTTGTTTAACTGCGTCGAATGCTAAGATATGGTCGGGCGTCCATCGAAATGAATGTTTTGTTGATAGAAGGCTTCGGATCTGCATTGATGTAGGGTTGGTTGGTATAAAGAATTCTTAATTGACTTTTATTTTGGACTTATCTACTTCGCACCCTCCCGGCTTGATCGTATATTCCGCAAAATCAACTTCCGAGTTCAGTGTAATATTATGTTCAGCGGACCGTTCGTGGGCGATATTAATATGATATTAAGATATCGTCCACTGTCTTCAAGATGTTTGGAAATCCTTGAAGGGCAAGGTCTCACATGAGTCGACTGTGGACTTGAAACAGCAAAGAGAACATTCCTGGTTGTGGCGCATCGCAAACGGAATGGTCCCTTTTTTCAGTATGATCGTTTCACGATCGTTTTATAGGAATTTTGGGTGTCAATAAAACGTATTACTGCTATGCTTTATAGCCCTATTATTGGCAGGGTTTATTAATAATGGAGTAACATTAAACTAATGAGTCATAATCTGTTGGCACAGTATGCGCAGTGTCTGAGTTATATGGGCAATGTAGTGTCGAATAATCCCCCAGAAGACGTCCTTGTCCTTCGTCTCACAAAATTGAGTAACGGTTGGTTATATAATTTGAGGATTGAGGTCTTCAAATTCCCAAAGTTCCACTCCCAAAAATTGCTTGTTTACTCGAAAAATTCACACGTGCGCGTCTTCAGCACCACGGGCCACGGGCGGGTCTAACTCATTACTTCATCATGTTTCAATTATTATGAATTCAATTAAGAGAAGATGAACTGTGAGTGGCCGTCGTGAGAAAAAGTATACTGTACAACACGTTTGCAAAGTACTCTTCAGGTTCCTCGCCTATACCTATAGTTGCACATGACAAGTGGTCATTTTGTATAAAAACTGCGCTTTTCGAAACTTGTCTAAAACAATCAATAATTTACAAAAAAATGAACGATAGTAGTCGTTTACTCGTTTATCTCTGTTGGGCGAAACGGATTTCACTAGAGTGCACGTCTTCCAACCAGCATCAAATATTGTTTCTAAAAGTAAGGCGCACTAAGGCTGTTTAAACATATTTTTAAAATGTTGAATTCTATTCGGGTCAAGGACAATACTATGCTTATAATTCTACGTTTTTTGTACAATTTCCTAAATATGAAACTGTATACCTAATCTTCAGACTGGAGGGTTATAGCCACATTGTACGTGAAGCAAAGAGTGAAGTATTTATTTATAACCAAGCATCAACAAGTTCGTATAATCGTCTTACTTCGTATAAAATAAACCTCTAAATAATCTTAAACACATGGCTTTCCAATAATGAGTAGATGAAGAGTGCAATTTTTTAGGCGCAATTTAGATCACTTTTTTAGCGCAATGAAACTTGTCAGCAGTAACATCGCAAAAGGTGAAACAAATGGAATATCTAACTCATTTCAATTTCTCATGTCACTTATGTAAAACTTCATAAAACTGATCCACTGGCTAGGAAAATATTAAGAAAGAATACGTCTTTAAAATTTCGTTGCATGTAAATTGTAAGTGGTACCGTGTGCCAATGCTAAATCGGTATACGACGCTCGACGTCGCGTTGCTAAGCCCAGCCAGTCTCGAACATCAGGACGGAATCGCAGCGTGTTAAAATTGATTCGCGATCAACACATCGATTTCATTTTACGAACCGTGTCGCAAAAAGTCAAAATAATGACTTCAAAAAAAAATTCCACTTTATTTAAATTATTTTCAAAACAGACAGGCGTAACTTTGTAACTGGAGAATACAATGTGAAAATTTTAAAATGAGTGACAACCCCGAACCTTCAACTTTGTCCGTCAAACCGCACCGTAATAAAACGAAACGTAAATTTAGTAAGGGCCGTTTACCAACTCCACCACCGGATCCTACGTTATTTTCTGATATACTCGAGCCGCCCGAAAGTCCCCTTTCGCCAGATAGAGATGTGCATTTCTTTGAATACATTAACTCCTTCCCGAAGACATCTCCCTTGCAATTATCACCGACGGGCGTTACCGAGGATGCCTTCGATCACCTGGAGAAGCTTTACAAGCTCATGGAACAAATGCTTAATTTACGCCAACAAAACGCGAAGCTACAGAGACGGGTACGTGATTTGGAGCATCTCAAGAATATACAATCGATGAACTGTCACCTAGCTAACATTCCAGTTCCCCCTTTTGAAGATATCCCGGAACTCGACGACGATTCATTGTTTGCGGAGAGCTTATTGGATACCATGCTGGTCGGAAGTAAGAAGGAATTGAAGACAAAACCCTGGACCCGCTCCAGAATTCGGCAATCGCTTATGAAAAAGCAGCGAAATCGAAGTGTGTCGGTGATTGAAAAATCTATTGACTTGAACAGTCTCGAGGATCGGCGATTGTTTTCCGGTGGTGGTAGTGATCGGGATAAATCTTCGAAAGTGTCAAAGTGGACGAAGGTTAAGGCGGCTTTCAAGTGGGAAAAGGCATCTCCCAGTGTGACCGGTGCAAAATCGCAAGACAGTGGCATCGGAGGAATCTTGCCCAATAATTATGAGGTTGCTCGATATTTACGCGTACCATCCACCACTGAGGACCCAGGTATTAGCCCTGCCGATTCCGGTGCCGCTGACGGTTCCACACCGGCGTCACTTTCTTCGGCCTCGTCAGTCGACGACATTCACAGACAAGGTAATTTTCTCTCTAGACACAAAATATTATTTGTTATCTTATTATGACACGACGGATTACGCTTTGGCAAAATTTTGAATTTATTTAAAAGTCCACTCGTGCGTTATGCGCTTACTGAACTCTTTAATGTCACCGAACAACTTTTAAAACTGGCACGTCCTGTCTGATGAATATCATTAAAGAGTCGAAACATTTAGGTTAAGTTATTAATTTGTTTTATCAATTTATTTATAAATTTCTAAACTAGACTGGCAGTTAATGAGTTTATATTCCTCTTCGCCGTTCTTGGCTCAAAGCGAAACACGTGTTTTCCATTAATAAAAATGAAAACAAGATTTCTGTGTCAAATATACAAATTCAACATATTTGTGGGTCTTTTAGTTTGAGACAATCGACGCAAATTCCTTTAAGGTTTACAGACAATTTCGTTTTGGAAGCGCTACTTTTTTTAAAATCAGGTTAAGGGCAATCTCTATATGAAAGCAATTCGTCAATTTAAAGTATTAGCAGCGCCGATTTCAAAAACCTGCCCCAAGTGGCTTAGAAAAGAAACCTATTAAGCTAAATGAAGTGTTTATTTATAGTGCGGTTTACTTTTTTGAAATTGCTTACAGACTAATTATAATTTTTAGTGTACGCATTTGATGAAGAAGCCGTAAACAGGTAGACTAGAGGAAAAGTTACGACACGTGATAAAAATTTCCCCAACATATTGAGGAAAGATTTATTTTTTAAGATTATGAGTGATGGCCTATTGTACCATGAGTAGGTTACATTTACGGAACTAAAAGTGATAATCAATCTTCAGGTACCTGCCACTGTCAAAAGTCGCTCTTAGTTCCTGTCACCAAATGCTTTACGGCAATACAAAGTATGGATTTTAGTGGACTTCGGGTCCAATCAAATAAATCAAAATTCTGAGATATTGAGTGTTTATATTACTTACATCCTTACTTACCTCAACATATTTTTGTTATAGTTAGTATTTGTTTTGGCACTTTATATGAGATGTTTATAGACTTGGCGTGTAGTTGGTATGCACAAAATATGCCGTATTACTTAAAAATGTGTTTAATTCGACAATAACATTCTATATGCACGGATGCCAGCAATTTAACTTTTGCAGTTGATCCATTTATTTGACCAGAAATGGCCACGCTTCAATTGTAACTAATGTAACTGTTTGAAACCACATTCTTGTCCGATTATCTTGAACGTTACGTATTTTAACATGTTCTGCTATTCCCTGTAGGACCCAATTTCGTATTGTTACTAGAAAGTGACTGCCAATACTTTTGGTAAAAGATCTATTAGGTACAGTAAATAGCTTGGCTCGGTGAGAATACTGAGTGACCCAGTAGTAACCCCCATCTTATACGAGGATGTTCTTTTAATTTTCTACCAGCTATGAAGGAAACGTACATTGTTTCAAAAAATTTATTTCTCCACGTAAATACCATCTACAACTACATTCTACACTAATATATGTCCAGCGTTTCTCCAGCTCTTTCTTTCCATCTAAAATAATCCATTGAGCTACAAAAAACGACGATACTCAGATTATGATCTGAGTCAAAGTGTCCAAGTGACCAACAAGATAAGCTTTCAAGCGCAAATCAGTTTTGGTAACCGAATGCTCATTTATAGGTACTCGGAGTTATTGAAAATTGCGCACTACTTTTTAACGCATTTCCACAAAAAAATGCGCTATTGGGCCGTCCGTCCGTCTGTCCGTCCGCTCGTTCGTTGGGACGCTACTAGTTTTGCATTCCTGCTCATAATGACAACGCTGAAACAGTATTTTCACTAGTGGCACAACAGTAATAAAGGAATTTATTGAATATTGAAACAGTCTCGTTAGTGATAAAAATACAATACAATTTTAAAGATTATAATTGTGTAGATTTTTATAAATTTCTTGTAAGTAAAGAAGCTATTCTAAAGGCTATTGGAAAGACAGATAAATACCGAAGATCTGAAAAGTAGTTCCCTAAACATTTTATTTTACTAAAAGACCAAATTTTTGTTTCATTTAAAAATTATTGTTATTAGCTCTTATAACTTGTATTTTATTTTGTTAAAAAAGTATATTATTGCTTCATTTAAAGAATTTAAAAATGTAAATAAGCCGTTGTTGATTCCTAACAGTTAAAGAAGATTTTGTTTCGTGATAGACTACGCCTTGTTTTATTTAAAAAAATTAATTGGTTGTTTTATTTCTTTAGAGAATATTTTTTATCAAATTCAGTTGATATGTCCGGGTTTATAACCCCTAAATCCGGGGTTTTCATGCTTCCTGTCCTAGTTGGTAGAGTTTTGAGATGGCGACCCTACCCATAGACTACATCACAAAAATTAAAATGGAACAAAATCACAGAAATAGACAAATGCAATTTAATTTTAGGAGTAAGAATATTTCTATTGGGGTACAATTTTCTTAGAGTCCCAAACGCTTTGCTTCCACAGGCACTGACATGCTGTGTAAATTTAAGATCTGCATCCCTGTTTAGACCCAAATTACGTGACATGTTCATTACAGGCAGCAGCACATTTCGGAGATGAATTTTAATAAAAGGTAGTGCACGCTCCCTAGCTAATTTACGACCGAAAATAACAACCGCAGATTTTGTCGAGTTAATGTGCAAATTGTGGTCTAGCTAGAGCAATATCAGCCAAAAGTATTTATCTCCATGTTCACTATTTCAATGGCTTCGTTCAATTTAGCAGGATTAAAACTGTGATAAATTTGCGTATCATCCGCATATTGATGGTACTTACATATATACACATTACTACAAAAGTAATTAGAATAAATAAAAATGGTCCCAATACGGAACCCTGCGGAACACCCCGACGTGAAGAAGAACGAGTATTATTCACAAGAACGCTCTGCCACCTACCATAGAGATAAGAAGAGATTAATTGTATAGCCGTAGAATGAAAACCGTAGTGATGTAGTATTTTAAGGAGTACCTAGTTTATGATCGATAGTGTCAAATGCCTTTGAGAAATCGAGTAAAACTGCTATTGTCAGCTTCCCTGAGTCCGTTGCCTGTATGATATCGTCCGTGATATTTAGTAGTGCAGAAGTACAGCTGTGACCTTCTCGAAATCCAGATTGGAACTTAGACAATAAACAGTTGTTTTTGAATTAATCACGAATTTGAGCCTTCATTACCTTTTCCAGGATCTTGAATAAAGTCGGCAAAATACTTATTGGTCGAAGGTCCTTGTAGTCTTTAGGGCGTCGATTTTTAGGAATGGGACTCACAAGTGCAGTTTTCCAAGCTGTAGGGAAAATATTAGAGGATAGGCAGGCATTGACAATATGGGTTATATAAGGAACAATGTACGGACAACACATCTGAATCATTTGAATATTGATGCCATCAGAACCAAATGCTTTAGACTTAATCCCATTGAGTATAGTTAACACTGTTGTATCATCAAAAGAAGTGAATGTAAATATTCTGGTGACATTAGGATGAATGGAGTTATAACCATTAGACGAGGTATGTATGTTATTCGAAGGAACAGAGTTAATGAAATAGGAGTTTATGTCATCGGGGATTACGATTGTAGAATGACTCTTCTTGTAAAAAAAAAAAAAGTTATTAATTGCCCTCCGCAGAGATGTTTTATTATATTTAGCTAAAGTAAAATTTAAATAGCCTTTCTTTTCATTTTTAATTGAAACGAACACTAAACTTCTAAGGGATTTGTAATACTCAAAGTGTCCAGCGATTTTGGTTCGCTTGCAACGTTTATAGGCACTATCTCTTAATTTCATCATAAATTTTACATTACTGGTTAGCCATGACAATTTCGGTCTGTTAATAACTTTGGTTTTAAGCCCAAAAATAAATAAACTGTTACTACTACTGTCATAGAAAGTAAAATTTCCCGATTAAGTAGGCATGAAATAGTTATTTACATAAAAGTCAGGAAAATGATACATTACTGGCGAGGAAATATTGAAGTACAAGGCCCCCAAATACTTTAATTTCCGAGTCAAGTAATGTCATTTTACTGACGAGTATTGTATTAAATTTTTACCCGAAATCATATTTTAATATAAAATTTCAATTTTCATATAGAACTTTTGATTAATGCCAATCTGTCAATGATGACAGGAGTCATATAGACATTTAGCAATGTGACAGGTGCGGCAGGAAAAGTGACAGGTGCGGCCGGTAAAGTGACAAGTGCTGCCTCTGCTATGGAAACTAACATTTTCCTGACATAAAGTAGGCATGAAAATGAAGGTTTCATGACGATTTCAGGAAATAATTAGTGGTATTGAGAAAATCACAGCAACTTTCGTATTTCTTATGGACGCTATATTGGATTTATATGTCACTCGAGAAAAAAATTACACAATTGGCGATACAGCCTCATTTGAAAATTAATCTAAAATTTTTGACTTGGAGTTTACTGTAATGTGTTTCTTATGACAATAATTCCATGGTCGTGTTGATCGTGAGTATACGAGACAATAATAGTAGGTATATTGTTTACCAAGAAGGAGAAGTGAGTTTTCACTAACATGTCGGAAGTTTTACGTACGAGGTGCCGAGTACGGAAATTCCGACGTGTCAGTCAGCGGATCTCACTCGTCCGTGGTAAACACTAAATTTTTGTTTATTAGTATGCGAGAATTGGGGAAGTAAAATTTCTCTGCCTCTTTTCCGCTTCTCTGCTCCTAGCAACGAAACAATACTTCACTGTTTGAATATGATCAGTGAAATGTCACATTTGACGTACGTACAAAAAAATACAAACAAGCTATAGAATTATTGCCATAATAGTATATTGTAAACTCCTAAAAATTCAAGGTTGATTTGCAAATGAAATATGTACTAAGTATTGAGTATCACTGTTTTTATAATTTTTTTCTCTATTGAATGACATAAAAAATCCCATATGGCGTTCATAATAAATCAGAAAGTTGATGTGATTTAATCAAAATCCATACAATTTCATACAATTTTTATTTTACC